CTCTACAGCCGCCTATCACAAAGTGAGCTTTTAAGAAGACGCCTAACCCAAGCTGTCTCACAGACCTTTCCAGCATCTGGCACCCGTGTACTGTTCTCCACCAGCCCCATCTTATACGGAGAGGGCAAGGGCAAACTACCAGCTCAGACCACCTCTATGTGTATTTGCTCCTTCACCTGCTCCTGTGGAGCAGAATATATTGGTCGTACGAGCCGGCGTTTGTCCAAAAAAATGAAAGAACATCTCCCAGCATGGTTAGGAAAGGGACAAATAAAGAATATCAACAGCTCGATCCTCGCGCACATGGTAGACACAGACCACTGTGTAGACGCCAAAGAGGGCTTCAGAGTGATTTACAAGGTCCCATCAAGCAATCCAAAACTGCTTGGGCAGCGCTTGTTGGCTACGGCAGAGGCGGCTGCAATCAGGCTACGCCGACCGGTCCTATGCGTACAGAAGAACTTCGTACAGGTCCCACAGTTACCATGAGTCAAAGCCACCAAGCCAACCACCCGCATGTAATTACCTGCGCCGTGACCCACCTTCTCCCGGGCGCTGACTGGAATTGTGGTGTTTCACTCTCCCCCTCCCCTCCCTTCTCCAAACCCGAGCTTAATTATCTACTTGCCCGTATCTTTTAATTCATTACTTCAGTAGCCATATAGATGTACAGGCCTGAAGAGAATTTATCGAAAGCAGACATATGCTCGCCAAATTGCCTTTTGAATTTTACAATGGGAATTTTCGCAACTCTGTAACAATATTAACTGCCAACTGAGAATATCAGAGCACTAGCACTTGCATCGGCATGGATCAATCAGCTCTCATCAACTGACAGTGACTGATCATACGATTTTACATTTAGCCACTAACATTTGAAAGCGGCAGCGATACTTATATGCTGATTGATACAGGGCTCCTCCGAATATATTGCCTCGAAGAATATACGACTTTTATTTTGTGTATAGCTGTCAAAAATTGGAGTAATTTACCAGCAAATGTTTGTCTTAGTCCCCATGAAATTACATCTACTTAGGATAAGTGGTCCCGTCACCTTACCACTAGGAAGGTTTCAAATGCGCTGCAGCGAGGGGACGGATGCTTCGGTTAAGAAGGCTTAGAAGTCCACTGAGATGCCTTGATCCATGGCTGCTGGATCCGGATACTTGGTTCTTTCTACGACCTAGGATTAGGAATGAAAGTGTACTGACTACATCAGTCATTTGTATGACGGCCAGATTCGGAGCTGCTTTAAGCAGCTCGTTTATTGATCTACACATGGCTAGATCATTTAGACAGGTGGTATTAGCGCGCTAACGCCAGTCGGGGTCTTTTATGGGCGTTAGCATATTTAACCTCCTCTCCGCTGTCAGCGATTGCGTATGTGAGTCTTTGGAAGCTTTTATGTTGGTTGTGGTATCTACTCTTCCCGTCCTCAAGTCATCTGCTCCATGTAGCAGTGCAAAACGTGCTAAACTGAGGGGACGTCATCAAGCCGGTAAATGGACTCGGCTTTCGAAGGCGAGATCTCAAATACAAACTTCCTATTCATGTGAAACCAAGGATCACAGGACCTTCGAAGTTCAAGGTATGGCCGTTTTCTTCAGTGGGCGTCGTCACCTGCTATTTTGGATCGTCATTACTGCCACTTACTATTAATGGAATGGATTTAGAGGACGTCTCGGAGATCGTTCGGACAAAGAAATGACTAATTCGCCTTCGAGTTACAAAATAGATGACTGCTAATCATCCTATCGGAATCTGTATAACTCTACAATGACGTTAGTATATTCGTTCGCCCAAGACAGGTTCGCAAGGGTAAGTCAAGCAGCCATCTTCTCCGCGGTCTCGAATCAAGGTGCTTCTGCATATTGAAGCGGCTTATCAAACTTAGTTTGGAGCTGATCATTCATCATTTGTTTTGGCCGGTAATTTTACTAAAACAGTTACTGAAATTCCGGTTTGTGCAGTGACGCACTTGAGCATCTAAAATGGATTTTTGCCTGCCTTCATTGTAAAGCGGATTCTTTGGTTAAAGGTCGGTGACTTAGGGGATCGGCACGCCCTGGCTTGATACTCACCACGGCTTCTCCAGATGTCAAACCCATTGCGGAGTCTGTATGCGTCATAACATACGACTCTTTCAGCCCTGTTGCTCAACAGGATCTGAGTTTCATTGGACTTGTGTTGGTTCTGGTGACTAAGTAAATCCCGCTTGGACTGGGATTCGTGCAGCAGCCCGTTTCCCGTCATCGATGTTCAGATTTTTCCAGTAGCATAATAGATTTGCAGTAGTAATCAGACAGCTTGACGATGTCTTTATTAGTCCTTTAATTATTTTTTGTTCCGGCTGTTGGTTTTCTACTGATTCTGCCACACGTTCGGACAAGTGGTCTGATGGATGGTCAGAGACTTATTTTCCTCATACCTCGCTGTTCGGCATAACAGAATTTCTGAGGCGGCAGTAAAGTCCGTGGATGCAACGACTGGACTGCAGCCAGGTGGGCTTTCTGCTAGATGATCCTTCGTCAGGCGCAAACAAAAAACCTCCACAAAAACGTACATTGGATCATCACGTTCGTTAACTTTTTGACCAGGTCAGTGTCTGCTTGGGGGAATTATCGATAGTCGTTCCAGATGATTTTCTCACAGTAATGAACAAAACCGTTGAAAACCCCACTGGTTACATGCCGAATGTTATAAAAAGCTGCAGATGTATTCATTTGACCGATTTGCTTTCGTGCATACTGTAACAGTTTGTTCATACCAGTGGAACGGAAATCCGCAGCTGGACTACATCAGTCGAACCTTGTGTTTCCTTGCATCTGACGCGGAGTTTTCTACTTTGGTTAAGCCTCATTAGAATTTTCAAATGAGGCTTCACAGAAATTCCATGCCTCCTTATGCGCAGGAATGCGCTCTAAGATTCCCAGTTCGCCGACGAAAAAAAGAGATTTGGTTAGTTCGGTTTTACTCGAAACGAAGCTTCATGAACCCTCAGATTTTCATCCATAGCGAGATTCTAAAGGCGTATTACTTTCTCTTTCGAACCTGCACACAAGAACTATCTCGAAAATATCCTCCGGACCCCGTCAACATGAAATTCGTTCCCTAATTCGTGGAACATCTCAAAGCTATGGCTAAAATTAAATAAAATTTCGAAGCATTAACGACCGAATAGGAAAGCACGCTTACTAGAGCAGGCTGGCTGCAACGGGCGTCTCACGTAAGCAAATAATATTTACTATTTTACGAGATCAAAACGCCGAAAATGCGTCGGGGGGCTCCATTTTTGAAATATCACATCCACGCCTATCTATTGCATAAAGTAATCTATATGCCCCTCTATCTAACGCACTTTATTTCATACCGAGTTTTTTCCGCTGATATAAAGAAGACGGTTTAAGTGCAAAAGAACAACATTTATACGTAGTAGTAAGTTCGGACGTTTGCTATGTATAAGGATTCAAATACAGCGCATATTCGTTGGTATTTGTCGTTGTGGAACTATGCGCCATGCATACACAGTCTTCCACCTAACAAATTTTGTATTTGTCTTGAGGACTTCAAGAAACAACCCTTTCGTCGTTTAGCTTGATATTCCTCCTAAAACCATCATCAGATTCGACTTCTTTTCAACCGTTCTTGGCGCAAACAACACACGCCGATTCCTATAAATTTCAGCCGAAAGAAATACCCGCAAACTGAACTTGTTGGAATAGAAGGTGACTTTCAGATATCCCATTTTATTCTTGAGATGTCTCAATTTCTGTACGAATCTCCCTAGGTTTTCACTATTCCCCCTGTAAGAACGTTGAAGTAAGTTATTGAAAGTTCAAGGAATATTGGAATGTTCAAGATTCGCATTGTCTACTTATTTGAACTGTACCGTTTGATTTGCATGAAGAAGGGTAAGTCATACCCGTTCCGTCCTTCCGCGGGGTCTAGCTAAGGTACTAGACGCTGGCTTGTGCCGTTTCAAACGTTCCAATCTTTTCAAATCTCACAGTACTCTCCATCAACTAGCCTTTATCCTTTAAGAAAATTTGTGTACAACTGAGAAGCTCGCTTTTGTCGGGCGACAGGAAGACCTACATTTTCAGTAGTTTGAAAACCCTGTAAAAATCTAACAATTCCTGAGCTACCCCTGTGCCTCGTAACAGGAAAGCCGATGAACTTCTTCAAAATCTACCTCTAGACTTAAAATACTTCATCACTCGGTTGATAAATATTCGTCTGGGCCCATTACAAGACAGATAGTCGAGTCAGTTACACACGAACTAATTGCGTCTTTAAGCTCTTCACCTTTTTGCAGGTAGCTGTGTCTCATTTAATTAGTTAGATACTAATAAACAGAATTTTAATCGGTCGTCAGACTCGTCTATCTCGTTTCTTCTCAAAAGGAGTCAGTGCGGAAAGCTACAGCAAACATTTTATAGGAATTTGGTTTAAACTTATGCCAAAAATTTCTACACCGTCGTAAGATAAGTTATTAGACGGACAGTTTTGCACAAATCTTCAGTACTAAGCCTAAGAGAATCGTCTACTTGCTTCTGCCCGGACAAAGTGTCTTTTAACCTTTTGCGTCTTCATTGCTTTCAGATCCTGGTCCAAGTGAAGGAACAATTTGGTCCATATTTCTAAACATTGTCGGGGAAGCCTCCTGGCAGATGACTTGCCCCACAAACTAACTCACTTTCCCAATTACGCGTGCATGTTCTAAAGAGACCCACTTAAGCTCTGACATAAAAGTGCCCAACATCATTTCGAAACATCCAGTTGTTGCTAGAAATGCGACTTTCAATCGTCGTTTATTCCCAAGTTTAAAAAAATCACACAAACGTTTCAATTTAAAAAAACATGATCAACTTAACCAGGGTTTCATCTCAAAATGTAAACATGCATATGTTATGGAACAGCAGTTATAGGACTAACAGCATTGTTGTTGACATGGCCAGATACTGTTGTCGTTAAGCTTCTTACGGCTGCGAACTAAAATTTTAAAAGACGCTCAGTGTCGGCCGATGATAAAGTTTAATTATTCCCTTAGGACAGTCTGCCTCCATGTATTCATAGCTATCCATGCTCATCGTCGTGCTGTTGGAATCGGAGACACAGGAGCCGGAACGTCGCCTCAACTGCCAAACGCTTGAGCCGCAGGCGGAGCAGGAAGAAGAGATAGGCTGTTTGATCCATCGCCTTCCGGAACATTTGCGGCTTTTTTGCCCCTCGGACTTGCAAGTATGGTCACTGTCATCCATAGACTCACCGTCCTGGTCTTCGCCAACTAACTCGATTCGATGGATGAAGGGTCGTCCACTATGCGAGCGGGACCGCCTAATACTGGTCATTGGTGCTCTGGATGGGTATATAATTCGGCAGGCCCCTCTTGGTTCGTCCTGGGAGTAACTGCTGCTGTTAGTGCTAGTGACACGTGGGGTGCGGATGTTCAGACATGACGCCCTGTCCAGTGGTATCTGCCGGCATCTCTTTTTGTGGTCAGCGCCGCCGAAGTGACTTGGGATGTCTTCGGATCGTAGTCGGCTTCCGCAGTTTTCAACGAGCCATTTGTTTTGGGAGTTGCTGCTGTCTAGGATGAATTGACGTTGCTTCTGGCTGTGTTGTGTAGCTTGCCTATCGGTGTACTGGTTGCTAATACTGCCAAAGTTGAAACCATTTCCCACCAATGGCTGCTCAGCGTGTGATTGCTCGGACAAGGAAAGGGGGACATCGGGTGTTGAAGTAAGCAAGGAATTAGGGGTGTATGCCAGCTGAGGAAATGGGGTTGGGTGCGAAGCGATGTAGGTGACTACATAGTTTCTCCGAACAGGCGGCTGCACCTCCTCTGTGGGTACCTCAATGCGGGGCCCAAAAATAAAGTCAGTACTAGCGTAGGTAGTCTTTGCATGACACATGTTAACGCCACTCAGCAACCTCGAGTAGTTATTATCGTGAGGGCTCTTGGTGGAGTCGGGTCGCCTGTAGTTCTCATTCACAGGATAGGCTTTATGTGAAGATGAAGGCAGGGTAGAGTGTGTGGCCGAAGAAACGCTGGTTACCCTGGCGCGTTGTGGAGTTTCTCTACCATTGCCGACGGGCGTATCATAACGATTCTTTAAAGACCGTCCAGGGCTCGTGTGCGGACTGACAGGCCTGGTTTGTTCCTTTATGTTCGCAGAAGGACTCTGTTCCTGATCCAAATGTGCACCTCGCACCGGGGAAGGTGATGCGGAACGACCGGCCTCTGGGCTTGTCTTCTCAGGTCTTAGGGCCTCGATACCCTTTTCATAGGCTTCAGATGACTTGAAACGCATTGAAACAAGCTTGTATGGCGTTTTTTTGTCTTCATTGAGTGCCGCGACGACAACCTTCCCGTTCAAACTGGATCGCTGAATTTTTTTGATCTGCGAAAGGTTAATCTGTTCGATCGGTGGCTTCTTTTTTCCAGTAGAGATGAACTGTGCGGTAGTTGGTGAAGCTTTGATTGTAATTGGTTGTTTAGTAGCCTTTCCCTTCCTAGCGGCTTTGACGGCTTTGTCGAGGGCTTTATCGAGTGCATCTTCCTTTTTTACCTTGCCGACTTTGAGATATTCTAGCGGTAAATCCTGGTCCGTTACTTCTGGCATTGCTGCTCTCTAGACTACAGCCTCTATTTTACGGGCTTTACTCAAAAGGCGCTGCATAAACTAATATAGAGCCAACTTGCAGCTTTCGCTACTGGCGTTAGCCTGCTTCCCGTATAAGCCAATTATTCGCTAACCTAGTAGCAGCCTGAGCCGTCAATCGAATTACCCTACGGGAGCCTAGATGCACAAAAGATGAATAAACGTACGTGCCGCATCGACCAGAATAGCCCACGACTGAGACTCAAAACGCCTTTCACCAAAAGTTTGTGAGCTGAAAAAGTCTGCCAAGGAAGCCAAAGTTGACGAATCGGGCACCCATTCCAAAAATAAATTTAATTCGCATTTCTGTCTGAGTAGTTCTACCTACTATCTATATGTTGATGCTTAATAAATGTTTAATGAACTGGAGGTTTGAGAAGGTGGAGAGGGCTTCCCCAAGAAAGAAGGGAATGATGAGTAATCTCTATTGCAGAATTCACCCAAAATTAAATTTGATTTCAACCTTGCCAAGAAATAGCGGTGGCAGAAATATCACTGACCTACCTATCCGCATGCAGGAGACATTACTAACTTCTTCTATATGAGATTTCATTTAACGAGTCTGACGCATTAAAACTCAAGAATTTTCTTCTTCTTCGGAGATATCGTCGGATTACTTTACCATCTCAGTGCCATCTACCTAGCACTTTATTTTGCAGTGCTGAAAGAAATCGTACGTCATGCTGGATCGTGTGACCGACAAACTAATGTTTACATTTTGGATTGCATCACAGGTATATGCTCATTTTTTACATTTGATTTTAATCCACGGTAGGTAAGACTCAGGAACTGACAAAATGTGCTAGTGCGTTGCCTTTACAGGTAGGGCTTGACTCTTATAAACACATTTTGTTCTAGCTGACTGCGAGCAGCCTTTTTGAAGAAGGTGTCGCGCTCCAGGTGGTGGTAAAATGGGATTAAGGGGCTGGGTGGCCAACGAGAACAACCCAGGCAGCAATAGTCATCGCGTCATCATCTAAAGTTCAATTCATCCTGTCAATCCCGTCTCACTCTGCTCTGACTTGGAACAGTCTCCAACGCAGTTATTTGAGCAGTCCTAGTCGACTACCCTATGCATGAAATCTGTTTTGTTCTTCAATTTTTGGCCCAAATAGTCGGCTGATAGGTCTAATTGATCAGTATTAGACCTTACTGTATGAAATTTTAGCACCCAAAATCCCTTTCAAAACCGATGCCTTAAATTTACTCGTTAATGCTGAATAATGTCCTTCTAGTTCCTTTTCCTTATTCTTAATTCGCCTTAGCTCAAATAGAGGAAGAATCGGTTTTACTTCCTTTCCCGATCCAAATTTAAGGTTGTAAATATTTCCGTAGTTACATTAAATTCTTAGCTTAACGAACTCCAGATATTGGTTAGGATGCGGAAATTGCCCAAGACTGATATTTTAGCATTTAAATCTTTTTAAAATAAATGCGATTAAGTAAAGTACATCATCCGGAATGAAGCTTTATATGTTCAGACCCAATGTCGGCAAGGATGCTTGGGCCGAAACACATCAGTCTCAGCGAAATAACAGCGTTATATTCATAAACTGCCGATAGGTAGCCGGTAGTATACACACGTTGCATGATTCGTCACGCATGTTTCGCCAATATCCTACCGCTGATTGACGCAGCTGTAGGGGTCTGGCTTATCAGGGTCCCCTTCCTCCGAGTTCTCCGTTTGTTTTCTACTATATAGTCTAGTCCGAAATTCCAGACAGATCTCTTATAAGAAGGCTCAGAGTAACACCGGTGGTCTCAGTGCTGAGTCGGTTCTCTTGCAGTTGAGTCGTACAGCAGCTGAACACTGGCAAGACACGTGCCCGAACCTTTAACTAGTACTTTCGCTATCGGGATGATGAATCATGCTAAACGTTTTAGTTTTCCGGACGTATTTTTGCCTTCTGAATTCATATAGAGCACTGTTGTCGGTAGAAAAAGAGATTTTAGAATACATCAAAGCCATGAGATGGCACGCAGTCTCTATTAGAAACGATGTTCAATAACTCGGACAATGGGAATGAGGTTGAATCCGCAATTATAACTACCATTCTTCCGCATATAATAGTCTTGATGGTGGATCAGCACTTCGTCCTCTTTCCAGAACGAACGTTTTCTGACTTTATATGATTTAATATTGTCAATTGACTGTCTCAACAATACATGTTGCAGCTATTAGATAACTGGCTGAGTGGTTAGAGCGTTGGAACTTCTAGCCAACAGGAAGTGGGTTCTGACCTCGGGGGTAGCAGACCTCAGCCCGAGTGCGGCTGGCTGACAACGACTTACAGGATAGAAATTGCCGCCCCATTCTCCCTTGTCTTTGCCAATGTTCCTTCTCTGCATATATTACTAGTAGCTGTGCGACTGCCTACTGGGCACTAGATCGCGCCCTCAAGCACGAAGGGTCGAGTAGGTCCCTTCACGCGAACGGTGAACGCCTTCCATAATAATACGATTTTCTCTTTGTTACACTAGCTGCATCTGATGGCACTCTCTTCCAAGTCCATTTGCCTATTGGATGTAATAGATCATACCATCATTATTGGTAGTTGTCGGTCTTGTCTTAAAAGTTCGACTGATGTACCTCATAACAAAAATTCGTCCCGACTAATTTAACTGGTCCCATGCTTTGGTGAAACCAGTCTTTACATCAGAAGGTCAGAACTCTGAACCAAAATCAAACAACCCTCTGAAATAGCGTCCGTTTGGTTCAGGCCTCGCTCCACTAGACTCCGGTTTATTTAAAACTCTGCAAAATTATCGAAAGCAAGAATATTCAGCTTGGTTTAATGTCAGATGCCCCACTTTAATGCCAAAATCTCTTATCGCTTTAAAATAGGAGATAATGTGCAGATTTCCAGTTGTTTCGTTTGGAAAATCATACAAGAGAGCCAGATGCTGTTTTACATCTATTGCTTAAAGGAGCGCAAACATCCAGTTGTGCACTGCTGATAAAACACGTCTAATTGCAATACGCTGCACGTCGTTTAGGTCTGCTTCATCGCACAAATGCATTCATACCAGCATAGAAGTTCGAAGCGCATTTTAAGTTAATTTGCTGTGACGTTGAGATGGAAGCGAGTAACTGCCAAATCTTTTTTTCAAGCTCTCTTAGATCGCATGATAAAACTATAAATCTTATTAATTATCCTGTTGAAAAGAAATTGACAGTTTCTTGTGATATAATTTGGAGACTTCAATTGTTGACTGAAAACCAGACCTATGCAAAGTACTGTTGTTTATTTACCCTAAACCCCATCGTCATCCTCGGTGGAGGTACGCGAACATTCATTCATTTTACTTGCGTAAATTAGGTATACAGTATATGTGCTATCTTATGAAGTGTTAGCCGAAATTCGGAAATATGTATTCGATTAGAAAAGATTAATTAGTTATCGTCGTTCAGCATTATCTCAAAATATTTCAGTCACTTCAGGATGCCTGGCTCTCGAACGAGCTTCTTCCCGACAGCTTGTAAATCTTCAGCCTGAAAAAGGACTACCCAACTAGTATGATTTTACATACTGGTCTTCGGTGATCTTATAAATTTCAAAGTTGTTCGTAGAAAACATGTAAAATTTTTTTTCTTATGCTCATTGGGTAGCATATTACGTCTTTGTCAAATATTGTACTTAAAGAAAGGATATTTTTGCCTTCAAAAAGCTTCTAATTAAAGGATTGTTTAAGACAATAAAAGGTTTACCCATAAAGCATCGTATCAGTCCATTCGTCAGTTCTGCTTGTAAAGTATACATGGTCAATTCCAGCTGAAAAATTTCACGAGGTCTATATAACCTCTTTTAATAGCATATATAAATGTATGGTTTTCTTTGTGGGCTTTCTATGAAATAAACTGGAATTTTTGTGACCGTCGAAAATCAACAGGAAACTTGTGTACAACTTAAGTGGTCATCTTCAAAGAGTTGAGTTTTTGCAAGCGGCCGCGAAGAAGTTTGTTCAAAGGCCGACATTCTGACGTGGCTGAAATATCCTGTGATTATGCTGCATGACATTTATTATTACGATCATACTTAATTAATCTTTTCTAATCAAAAACGCATTTCAGAAGTTCGGTCAACATTCCACGAAAAAGCGCACCTATTGCTGTATCGGGATGTTTCACACTGACCTATCCTCACCGCAAGACGGAGTCCAAGACGATTTCGTATTTTTACACCGAGCTCTTTCATGCAGTCACAGAGTGACGGACAGTCGTTAAGCGAACAAAGAGGCCATTCATTTCTCCCTTGCTTTGGCGATGATACTGATTCGTTGTGTGTTTAGCAAATGCATCAAATCTCCTAGAACCAGTATAACCGATAGAGCAACGCTTTACTGCTCGAGACAACCATGCAATCTGTCGAAAAATTATTCGTCGATAAACAAAAACCATTTGTATTTACCACTCCTTTGTGCAGCTACCTAGCGCTTTACGTAAGACAGCAGATCCCACGTTTCAACGTGAATATTTATCTAATATAATCACTTTGTAGTTGCTTACGAACCCATATGATTTTGGCGGCTGAAAATCCTCTGCAGAGGTTGAGACAAGCACATCCAGTTGATATATACATATGCATACATTTTATGGAAATTAAATACGCCAATTCATGACCAAAAGTATAAGCTTTTGAAGAAGGAGACACGATTGCCGGCGATCGTATCTCCTTCTTCAAGACTACTTCCTGGGACTCGGCTCTTCGCTTCTATTGGTAGTATAAGCTTATCATGCTTTTGGCCACTTAACGACAAACAGACAATGAATATTCCACATTTCCGTTTCCTCGGCATTTACTGATGGCAAGTGCATTCCGTCGTCCATTTAATGAAGTGTGGGTGACCATAAGGATCCAAATATTATTATTTCACACTTTTGAGGTCGAAAAGAGCAGATAATGCGAAAGATTTTGGGCTTTGTCATTGGCCAAAGGCATATCGTTGCACATTTCCGAATT